TTCAGTCTGTACGAAAAATGTATACATGGAATCATTATGTCTGTACGATAAATGTAGACACGGAATCATTCTGTCTATATGATCAATGTAGACACGGAATCATTCTGTCTGTACGATAAATGTAGACACGGAATCATTCTGTCTGTACGATAAATGTAGACACGGAATCATTCTGTCTGTACGATAAATGTAGACACGGAATCATTCTGTCTGTACGATAAATGTAGACACGGAATCATTCTGTCTGTACGATAAATGTAGACACGGAATCATTCTGTCTGTACGATAAATGTAGACACGGAATCATTCTGTCTGTAGATAAATGTAGACACGGAATCATTCTGTCTGTAGATAAATGTAGACACGGAATCATTCTGTCTGTACGATAAATGTAGACACGGAATCATTCTGTCTGTACGATAAATGTAGACACGGAATCATTCTGTCTGTACGATAAATGTAGACACGGAATCATTCTGTCTGTACGATAAATGTAGACACGGAATCATTCTGTCTGTACGATAAATGTAGACACGGAATCATTCTGTCTGTAGATAAATGTAGACACGGAATCATTCTGTCTGTAGATAAATGTAGACACGGAATCATTCTGTCTGTACGATAAATGTAGGCACGGCATCATTCTGTCTGTATGATAAATGTAGACACGGAATCATTCTGTCTATATGATAAATGTAGACACGGAATCATTCTGTCTGTAGATAAATGTAGACACGGAATCATTCTGTCTGTACGATAAATGTAGACACGGAATCATTCTGTCTGTACGATAAATGTAGACACGGAATCATTCTGTCTGTACGATAAATGTAGACACGGAATCATTCTGTCTGTACGATAAATGTAGACACGGAATCATTCTGTCTGTAGATAAATGTAGACACGGAATCATTCTGTCCGTACGATAAATGTAGAATCGGAATCATTCTGTCTGTACGATAAATGTAGACACGGAATCATTCTGTCTGTACGACAAATGTAGACACGGAATCATGTTGTCTGTACGATAAATGGAATCATTCTGTACGATAAATGTCTGTATTCTGTCGATAAATGTAGACACGGAATCATTCTGTCTGTACGATAAATGTAGACACGGAATCATTCTGTCTGTAGATAAATGTAGACACGGAATCATTCTGTCTGTACGATAAATGTAGACACGGAATCATTCTGTCAGTACGATAAATGTAGACACGGAATCATTCTGTCTGTACGATAAATGTAGACACGGAATCATTCTGTCTGTACGATAAATGTAGACACGGAATCATTCTGTCTGTACGATAAATGTAGACACGGAATCATTCTGTCTGTACGATAAATGTAGACACGGAATCATTCTGTCTGTACGATAAATGTAGACACGGAATCATTCTGTCTGTACGATAAATGTAGACACGGAATCATTCTGTCTGTACGATAAATGTAGACACGGAATCATTCTGTCTGTACGATAAATGTACGGAATCATTCTGTCTGTACGATAAATGTAGACACGGAATCATTCTGTCTGTACGATAAATGTAGACACGGAATCATTCTGTCTGTAGATAAATGTAGACACGGAATCATTCTGTCTGTAGATAAATGTAGACACGGAATCATTCTGTCTGTACGATAAATGTAGACACGGAATCATTCTGTCTGTACGATAAATGTAGACACGGAATCATTCTGTCTGTACGATAAATGTAGACACGGAATCATTCTGTCTGTACGATAAATGTAGACACGGAATCATTCTGTCTGTAGATAAATGTAGACACGGAATCATTCTGTCTGTACGATAAATGTAGACACGGAATCATTCTGTCTGTAGATAAATGTAGACACGGAATCATTCTGTCTGTACGATAAATGTAGACACGGAATCATTCTGTCTGTAGATAAATGTAGACACGGAATCATTCTGTCTGTACGATAAATGTAGACACGGAATCATTCTGTCTGTACGATAAATGTAGACACGGAATCATTCTGTCTGTACGATAAATGTAGACACGGAATCATTCTGTCTGTACGATAAATGTAGACACGGAATCATTCTGTCTGTAGATAAATGTAGACACGGAATCATTCTGTCTGTACGATAAATGTAGACACGGAATCATTCTGTCTGTAGATAAATGTAGACACGGAATCATTCTGTCTGTACGATAAATGTAGCCACGGAATCATTCTGTCTGTACGATAAATGTAGACACGGAATCATTCTGTCTGTACGATAAATGTAGACACGGAATCATTCTGTCTGTACGATAAATGTAGACACGGAATCATTCTGTCTGTACGATAAATGTAGACACGGAATCATTCTGTCTGTACTGTATTCTGTCTGTAGATAAATGTAGACACGGAATCATTCTGTCTGTAGATAAATGTAGACACGGAATCATTATGTCTGTACGATAAATGTAGACACGGAATCATTCTGTCTGTACGATAAATGTAGACACGGAATCATTCTGTCTGTACGATAAATGTAGACACGGAATCATTCTGTCTGTACGATAAATGTAGACACGGAATCATTCTGTCTGTAGATAAATGTAGACACGGAATCATTATGTCTGTACGATAAATGTAGACACGGAATCATTCTGTCTGTACGATAAATGTAGACACGGAATCATTCTGTCTGTAGATAAATGTAGACACGGAATCATTCTGTCTGTAGATAAATGTAGACACGGAATCATTCTGTCTGTACGATAAATGTAGACACGGAATCATTCTGTCTGTAGATAAATGTAGACACGGAATCATTCTGTCTGTACGATAAATGTAGACACGGAATCATTCTGTCTGTACGATAAATGTAAATGCGGAATCATTCTGTCTGTAGATAAATGTAGACACGGAATCATTCTGTCTGTAGATAAATGTAGACACGGAATCATTCTGTCTGTACGATAAATGTAGACACGGAATCATTCTGTCTGTACGATAAATGTAGACACGGAATCATTCTGTCTGTACGATAAATGTAGACACGGAATCATTCTGTCTGTACGATAAATGTAGACACGGAATCATTCTGTCTGTACGATAAATGTAGACACGGAATCATTCTGTCTGTAGATAAATGTAGACACGGAATCATTCTGTCTGTAGATAAATGTAGACACGGAATCATTCTGTCTGTAGATAAATGTAGACACGGAATCATTCTGTCTGTAGATAAATGTAGACACGGAATCATTCTGTCTGTGTAAACGATAAATGTAAATGACACGGAATCATTGTCTGTACGATAAATGTCTGTACGATAAATGTAGACACGGAATCATTCTGTCTGTACGATAAATATAGACACGGAATCATTCTGTCTGTACGATAAATGTAGCCACGGAATCATTCTGTCTGATAAATGTACACGATAAATGTAGACACGGAATCATTCTGTCTGTACGATAAATGTAGACACGGAATCATTCTGTCTGTACGATAAATGTAGACACGGAATCATTCTGTCTGTACGATAAATGTAGACACGGAATCATTCTGTCTGTAGATAAATATAGACACGGAATCATTCCGTCTGTACGATATATGTACACACGGAATCATTCTGTCTGTACGATAAATGTAGGCACGGCATGCTTCTGTCTGTACGATAAATGTAGACACGGAATCATTCGGTCTGTAGATAAATGTAGACACGGAATCATTCTGTCTGTACGATAAATGTAGACACGGAATCATTCTGTCTGTACGATAAATGTAGACACGGAATCATTCTGTCTGTACGATAAATGTAGGCACGGAATCATTCTGTCTGTACGATAAATGTAGACACGGAATCATTCTGTCTGTAGATAAATGTAGACACGGAATCATTCTGTCTGTACGATAAATGTAGACACGGAATCATTCTGTCTGTAGATAAATGTAGACACGGAATCATTCTGTCTGTAGATAAATGTAGACACGGAATCATTCTGTCTGTAGATAAATGTAGACACGGAATCATTCTGTCTGTAGATAAATGTAGACACGGAATCATTCTGTCTGTACGATAAATGTAGACACGGAATCATTCTGTCTGTACGATAAATGTAGACACGGAATCATTCTGTCTGTACGATAAATGTAGACACGGAATCATTCTGTCTGTACGATAAATGTAGACACGGAATCATTCTGTCTGTACGATAAATGTAGACACGGAATCATTCTTTCTGTACGATAAATGTAGACACGGAATCATTCTGTCTGTAGATAAATGTAAACACGGAATCATTCTGTCTGTAGATCAATGTAGACACGGAATCATTCTGTCTGTAGATAAATGTAGACACGGAATCATTCTGTCTGTACGATAAATGTAGACACGGAATCATTTGTCTGTAGATAAATGTCCTTTGTTGGTTAGGTGACACGGTCTTTTGTTTGGTTGTCTGTAGAACACATGTTTAAATGTAGACACGTCCTATGTCCTTTGGTTGGTTAGGCGATAGGTCCTTTGGTAGGTTAGGTGACACGTCTTTTGTTTGGATAGTTGACATGTCCTTTGGTTGTTTAGGTAACACATCCTTTGGTTGGTTAAGTGACACGTCTTTTGTTTGGTTAGTTGACAAGTCTTTTGTTTGGATAGTTGACATGTCCTTTGGTTGGCTAGGTATTACTTCCTTTGGTTGGTTAGGCGATACGTCCTTTGGTAGGTTAGGTGACACGTCTTTTGTTTGGATAGTTGACATGTCCTTTGGTTGGTTAGGTGATACGTCTTTTGTTTGGTTAAGTGATACGTCCTTTTGTTAGTTAGTTGACACGTCCTTTCTTTGGTTAGGTGACACGTCCTTTGGTTGGTTAGGTGATACGTATTTTGCTTGGTTAGGTGATACGTCCTTTGGTAGGTTAGGTGACACGTCCTTTGCTTGGCTATATGACACGTTGTTTGATTGGTTAGGTGACCCGTACTTTTGTCGTTGAGGTGACATGTCCTTTGGTTGGTTAGGTGACACGTCTTTTTGTCGTTAAGGTGACATGTCGTTTGATTGGTTAGTTGACACGTCCTTTGGTTGGTTAGGTGATATATCCGTTGGTTGGTTAGGTGATACATCCTTTGCTTGGTAAGGTGATACGTCCTTTGGTAGGTTAGGTGACACGTCCTTTGCTTGGCTAGGTGACACGTTGTTTGATTGGTTAGGTGACCCGTACTTTTGTCGTTGAGGTGACATGTCCTTTGGTTGGTTAGGCGATACGTCCTTTGGAAGGTTAGGTGACACGTCTTTTGTTTTGATTGTTGACATGTCCGTTGTTAGGATAGTTGATACGTCCTTTGGTTGGTGAGGTGACAGGTCCTTAGGTTGGTTAGTTGACACGTCCTTTCGTTGGTTAGGTGACACGTCCTTTGGTTGGTTAGGTGACACGTCCTTTGGTTGGTTAGGTGACACGTCCTTTGGTTTGTTAGGTGACACGTCCTTTGGTTTGTTAGGTGACACGTCCTTTGATTGGTTAGGTGACACGTCCTTTGATTGGTTAGGTGACACGTCCATTGGTTTGTTGGGTGACACGTCCTTTGATTGGTTAGGTGACACGTCCTTTGGTTAGTTAGGTGACACGTCCTTTGGTTTGTTAGGTGACACGTCCTTTGGTTGGTTAAGTGTCACGTCCTTTGGTTTGTTAGTTGACACGTCCTTTGGTTTGTTAGGTGACACGTCCTTTGGTTGGTTAGGTGACACGTCCTTTGGTTGGTTAGGTGACACGTCCTTTGGTTAGTTAGGTGACACGTCCTTTGGTTTGTTAGGTGACACGTCCTTTGGTTGGACAGGTGACACGTCCTTTCGTTGACTAGGTTACACTTTCTTTTTCCAACAGATAACTCGTCCTCTTATTGGCGATCATCTGCTTTTCAATAAAAATCAAACCTTTCAAAATCTGGTGTGTCCACACATTGTTTGGCTGCTTTGAGATTCTCCAAACTCCGTACAGGTTTAGCGTTCAAAAGACCACCACTAGTAGACTATTATAGTTTATATTCCGGGGCAGAATTCTCACGTCTTCATTATTCATTCACTAGCCATTCCGACGAATACAGAAAGTTAGATCGATGGTTTGCTTCTTCATGCTCAAGGAAGTCACGCCAACTCCCACTCTATGTGTTGTCTACTGATAGTAAAGGCGAGAACACACAGTACAAATTGGCAGAGAGGAGTCCAGCATCTTTGATCACACTCCAACATACCTCAGGCTGTGTGCTTCACGTTAGGGTCTGTTATCAACTTTTTGTCTAATGAAAAAATACATGTAATAACATGTTTTTAGAAGAGCGATACTGTTTTGTGATACATACAGAAAATACATACAATGTAGAGTGTAGTGCTCTTTGGATCAAAACTGAAATACAAAATACAAGATAAATGAAAGTCAGATTGAAAAGTGAAAATGCTTCCTCTAATATTCCCCAAACTGAAATGTTGGTAAAACGCCAGTTTTTCGAGTTATCTACCTTCGGCCGATACGGCCACGCGTTTGTGTTGGTCGTTTTGATCCAATTTATTCCAGTTTTTTACCATCATCTTTGTCGCTTTGTGGTACGTGGCTTTACTATCAATTGATTTGTTCATATCTTTATGATAACAAGGTATTAGGATAACAAAAGATTATAAAATAGAAAGACGGAGCTGATTTAGGAAATATAAATAAAATGTAGATGAACTTCATCATAAAACTTAATTCTCACTCACGGGCTATCATGGACAATAGGCATTCAATTCTTGAAGGAAATTTAGGAAAATTTTGATGTGGAAAGCACCACATAGTAAAAAGATTTTAGAAAGTATGAATGAGTTGTCTGTTCATGTCTTAACTCTGTCCGATTATATAAGTAAACGCGAGTATCCTCACCAGACGAACTGTCTTTATACTCCTCGGAAAGTGAGTATCCTCACTAGACAAACTGTCTTTATACTCCTCGGAAAGCGATTATCCTCACCAGACAAACTGTCTGTATACTCCTTGGAAAGTGAGTATCCTCACCAGACAAACTGTCTGTATACTCCTCGGAAAGCGATTATCCTCACCAGACAAACTGTCTTAATACTCCTCGGAAAGTGAGTATCCTCACCAGACAAACTGTCTGTATACTCCTTGGAAAGCGCTTATCCTCACCGGACCAGTTGTCTGTATACTCCTTGGAAAGTGAGTATCCTCACCAGACAAACTGTATACTCCTTGGAAAGCGAGTATCCTCACCAGACGAACTGTCTGTATACTCCTTGGAAAGCGAGTTTCCTCGCCAGACTTGATAATGATCAATATAAAAATTTGATAATTTGAAGTTAGACGAGCTGTCTGTATACTCCTTGGAAATGTACTACAACTGAGCCCACCTCCTTGATAATGATCAATATAAAAATTTGGTAATTTGAAGTTAGGTCGGTGCTCGTTAATGTACTACAACTGAGCCCACCTCCATTATTTTTTATTGCAGATAAATCAGTTGACACTTACCCCCCTAGTTTACATCCCCCACCCCAGAATACCAGGTCAGGAGTTACCTGCCTTCGTATGTCGCTCTCGTTTTATCGTTTTTTTTTAGTTTCCATTTAATGGACGTGTCAGTATTCCCTTGTTATTTGTTATTCGTTTAGACTTCAACTGATTACCTGTCTCTTTAAATTTGTGGACAATTCATGAGGATTTGTCTTGTTGTACTTTACATCTTGGTAAATATTTTTAAAATATATATATATGTATCAACCAGTTTGAAAAAAATTGGACTGTACAGTTAGATACGTGCAGTGTGGTTGTTTGCACGAAGATTGTCATGGAAATTTGATTTATATAATGTCTAGCTCAGTTTGTCAAAAGTAAATTCAAGAGAATTTAAAGTTGTCGAGATGTCGTGTTATATTAGCTAGATATCGGAATTAGCTACAACATTGCTGTGTTTTATCGTCTTTGTACCGAATTATAATAGACATTTACAGGCGAAATGACACTATCCAATTACTTTACACTGCGACGCTCGATCGTGTACATAAGCCTAACAGAGAGTAGCTATTCATGTCCGCCTCGCTCGAGTTCAATGCTCTTCAACATCGACGACGACGGCGACGACGACAAACGTCATTGAAAAGTGTGAGGTAGACAGTGAAAGGCCAGAAATAGATAGATAAACGTACATTACATGGTCCGATTCTGTGGAGCTGATGGGTAGGACAAAAAACCGGAAATTTCATGACCCCAGAGTCTCAAATTTCCTCTGAGAAGGGGGTAAACTTTATTATAGTTCTAATAGGGACACAAGCATTTTGGCATAATACCGTGTTTCCATACAAGTCATCAGACAAACTGATGTTGAGATTCCATTTGTACCAATATTGCAGAAAAACCAAGAAAAGAGAGATAACATCACACAAAAAACATTTTTTTAAAAAGTTCGTGGCGTATTCCCTGGTCAAATGACCCATGCGCGTGATCAATACATGTCAGAGTATTTTATTTAGCAAAGTGCCTATTATAGATAGGTTGTTACGTAATTCTGCTGTGATCTGATATCGGCCACAGGAAAACATAAAACTATGACATGTAATTTATGGCGGTGTCACGGACTATATATAGAAATGTCTACAGATATGACACTGTCAGTGTTTGTGTCTGTCCTCATGACCTTACGTTAGGCACTGTTTATACAAAGCAGCCATTGTTGGTGTTTCCTTTTCAATCTCATAGTCGAGTCTTAATGATTATTACGTCACTTCCGTTTCAAAACCATATTAAGACAAAACGGAATTGTTTCATAAGCTCTTCGTTAATGAACAAGTTGTTCCTGAAGAGAAACGGATTGACATGGATGACAACGCTAGTGATAGGAATATGCATGGATTGTACACGATACCTGGTATGACGTCATTGTCATTGTGTAAAAGCCTACTTAGGTAATTAATCAGACTGATCACTTTGAATGCGGCAATCCACTACTATAATTTAGTGTTAACACAATTCCAATAGGAAGCCTGTATTGATTTTCTTTCCTACTCAATCCTTGGAAGTTAATTTTTAAATAAATGTTCTCAATTAATACCAGTTATATACAATGTTCAATGCACTGTCAGCACTTCACCTTCAGTAGCAGGCACAGGATGACAAACATGGAAAGCCCACATATACTGATACACAGAGTAGACTGCGTCCTTCTTCATCTGTTCCCTTTATATCGACGCTTTCTGTAAACAGTTGTTATAATCAGTGATACGCTTCTGTGTATGCGAGTGTTTCATCCGAACTGTTCAGAAAAAAAACCACAATTCGCAAACATTCTGTTAAATGTTACGAACACGATTTCTGGGCACTGATGAATAACATCCTATCGGAATTTTGTGTTATAGAAATGTCTGCGAGCCAAATTAAGCTACACACACGAGGGGATAGTTTAATGACTTCGTAACACTTAACCCTTATATAAGTGACATTTCACAATTTGTCTTCAGTTTTTATTTACGTTTTTCTAGAATCATGCACCATGCGAATCGTTGTATCCTGATATTTTAGATAGGTCTCTTTTACTGTGTGTAATATAGCTAACATGCTAGTTTGCTGAATAAAAGCCGAAATATATCACAATAACCAAACAAACAAGAATAACGACACCCTAGAGACGCAACGAAACACAATTTTATCAAAATCAACTTTAACATGTATCAGAACTTTACCTCTTCAGACACCGCGCTATAATACAAACCCTATATTACCACAAATGTTTACAAAACACGAATCAAATATTATTTGAACTGCAGTAGATTTGAACATTATAGATAATTATTATCCGACGTTTGACGTCACAGCCATACAAAAGTATACCAACTAGTCTTTGTCGATAACACTGTACACATGGGAATTGTTATTTTTCTATTTTTATCGCTTTAAAAATGATTTTATTATTTGAATTACTTCATTTTCAGTTTTTCGTTTTTCACCTTAAGATCCATCAGTGAAAATACAAACTGACATGTAAAGATCTGGAGATGATATCTACAAAACGTTGCTATTCATACAGTAGATCAGAAATACAAGATGGACACAATCTCGAAAAACAGAAACACATCGCTTCGATTGAAACTTGGTGGGAATGGAACGTCTGTGTTTAACATTGAGGTCTTACATTTCAGGCATAACAGAGCAGTCATCTGTTTTGTAGGATTTACGAAAAATGGTCTCGAATTCTTTTAAACCATCTTTTTATATCTAGATCCAAGATCATTGCAATCTTAAGTACATACTTTTCTTAGTTCAGACAATATATACTGGAAGTCAGTCTGAAAATATTGTTAACTTATTTCTTTATTTTTTCTTTTTGCAAGGTCGAAAGTTTGAACTGGCGACAAAGCCTGACAAGATTGAACCATCGTCTGTTTTTGAAAACAGAACATTTTTTCGACCTGCTTTGCGAGTTCTGACGGTGAAATTCTGAAATGATCATTAATTTAGTGTTCAATATCCCAAATGTCGAACAACTCCCACAGCTTAAACTTAGACTCCAGTTCTGATGAAT